GGAGAGAGAGAGAGAGAGAGAGTGGAATCTTTTGTGTGAGTTACTAGTGGTTGTTTTTTTCAGTTTCAGTTTGAAAGTCAGCAGATTATGTCATGTGTGGTAAAGGCCTGGAGAGGCTCAGACTGACCACACCAGTCAACCAGGGAGCTGCTGCTTTTCTGCCTGGCGAAGGCTGTCTTCTGCTTCCCTCTGGTCTAAAATCCAGACTTCCAGGTTTACCATGGACCACAAAAAGCCTTTAGAACAATTTTAGGAAGTGCTTGGGTTCATGAACTTAATGATTTTTAGAGTACGTTAGATTATTGCATTACAAAGTAACTCAGCTGAGGTGTCCTGATGACAACTTTCAGTCTCATAGATAACATGTACATCATTTTGACCAGCCACAGATCCCTTCAATGTTCAAACAACTTTTCAATCATCTCTTAGATTTTGTGGTCATGATTCTTAGTTATCCTCGAGTCAGGTTCTGACCCTGACGTTACAAATTCCATTCATTGCTTTATGTATTATATTAATAACGTGTGGGAAATGATAAATTTTAATTCTTACTTTTGCGGTTTACTCTCTCTCTCTCTCTCTCTCTCTCTGCCTCATTTCATTAGGGAACCTCAAACCGGGTTATTATTGGGCTTATTATTGGGCTTGAAGGGTATGGGCTGTTATTGGGCTTAAATGCCTATTTATTCATCTGGTCCCAAAATTAACTAATATAATAATAATAATAATAATTACACAAACTCCACAATCGACCTCTTCTTCTTCTTCTTCTTCTTTTTCTTTTCTTCTTCATCTTCTTTAGAGAAAAGAGAAGAAACCGTCGTGGTTGGTTCTTCTCGGTTTTAAATGCCGGCGGGATTTTTGCTAGGACGGCTTCAGTATTGGCCTCTAGCCTTTGTATTTTCAGTCTTCTATTTTTATTTTTATTTTATTTATTTATTTATTTATTTATATTATTCTATTTGCAATTTTGTGTTGAATGAATTTGGGTGAGAGCAGGCTCCGATGATGAATTATTTCTTGGCTGTCACTTTTGTACATCTATCGTTCCAATTTCCGAAGCTTCCATGTGGAACTCAAGGGACATCTGAGGAGTTTCCCCACCCTTCTTTTATATATATATATATATATATTTCTTTTCTCCCCTTCATTTCTGTCTCTTGTTCTTGTTCTTCTTTTCTTCTCATGATTGAACGACACGCCGTATTATATACATACGTAAGGAAAATAAGATCTGACATGGCGTCGTACTATTTTTTTCTTTTTCTACATGGAAAAAAGAGCATTGTCGTTTTCACATGATTGGGTTGCGCTGATGGGATTTAATTGGCAAATGTTTTTTAGTTTGTTTTTTCTTCTCATAAAGTCCCCATAGTCGACTCACTCACACATCACACATGATTCTTGGTTGTGCTGCTGTCGCGTAACCATGCAATTTGGCCTTGGACCACTGTCATATTTGACCTTTTTATTATTATTTTATTTCTATAATGAAAGTATTCTTTTCAACTTTAAAAAAGATTAAGGGCTGATATCTATTCTCTCTCTAAGCTTCCTCTCTCTCATATCTTGACCACGAATCTTGTGTTTCTTTTTTCCTTTCCAATATTAAAGTTGAAGAATATAAATATAAAAACGAATTTACCACTAAAGTTCAAGAACAAAACTGCTCACTTGTGCAACAAGTTGTGCTCAACAAACCGTTTTCAATTCTCATAAACTGCACCAGATGAATGAATCTAATCCACCCCTCATTTGAGCTTTAAGTTTGATTGGGTAAGTTTTAAATCGACCAAGTTATACGCGTAATCGATCCAATTAAGCTCAAACGAATTATATTTGTCTTATAATCGATTAAATTCATCCTTACATACTACTTAAACTACAAACCTCTCACCCTTTTAGGTTTAATCCACATAATTTTTTTAGAATTATAAGCACAAAATTTGATCAAAAGAACAAAATATGTATGTGCACAAAATACAGAATATCAGTGGTGATGTTAAAGGACAAAACTGAAACGTAGCTTTTGTTTCTATCTTGTCAACCCAGCATTGTTTATGTCGAAAGCCAAAAGCTTATTCATTCGATGGATTGAAAGAAACCAAATCCAACCCAAAAACCCAAAAAATTCCAAGTGCCGGCTTTTGCCCTCTTCCCAAGTTCCAGTTTCTGTCATCTTCATCTTCTTCCTCTCCACGTCGACCATGTGCTCTGCTTCTCTCTCCTCGTCCTCTCTCTGTCACCAATCCCATCTCAAACCTCCACTCTCTTTCTCCAACAATGGCGGGCTCTCTGTTCCCCAGGCATAGCCACTCTTCATTCTCATTATTTTCTTCTCTTCTTCTCTCTCTTTTACTGCCAACCATGACTTTCACAACAAAAGCCTCGTCAGCCTGCACTTCTGAACCAGGCCCTGTAAAACCCACAATTCCATTGGTCGCCTTCTTCGATCGGCTCCAAGAAACTGCGCTCGCCACTTTTGGAAAAACCAACTTCGACCCAAAATTCTACGTCGATTTGTCGCTCAAGTTCGAGTTATCGAAGACTCAGAAAGCCTTTGATCAGCTTCCAAAGTCTGCAAACGGGTCTGCATCAGTGAAGGATTTGAAGGAATTCATAGCAGAGTATTTTGAGGATGCAGGGGAGGATATGGTGCTTGCTGAGCCAGAGGATTTTGTCCCGGAGCCGGAGGGGTTCTTGCCCAAGGTGAAGAACCCAGAAGTGAGGGCTTGGGCTTTGGAGGTGCACTTGCTTTGGAAGAATTTGAGCCGCAAAGTCTCTGATGAGGTCCACAAGAGGCCTGAGTTCCATACTCTTCTTCCTCTGCCTCAGCAGTGTGTAATTCCGGGTTCAAGGTTCAGAGAAGTTTATTACTGGGATTCCTATTGGGTAATTAGGCAAGTGTTCTGTTGATTTCTCTTCTTTTTTTTCTTTTTTTTTTGGTTGATCATGTTATTTTGAATCATGTGCTGCATTATCTTTTCTAAATTTTTTAAGGTGATGCTAATTTAAAATGTCAATTCAGAATCTAATTCCAGTCATTATTGAATCTTCATCACTTGAGCCAAAAGCAACCCAATTGGTTTGTTGGTCTGAGACTACCTTTCTTTTTCCACTTTTTCATTCACACTGGAGACAAAAAAAGCATAGAGACCTTGTATGCATGGTGCTCTCTTTTTTTTTTCTTTTTTTTTTTTTTGCAGGGTTAGTTGGTAGAAATTTAATGCTCATGAATTATTTAAGCTGGTGGGGTTGAGATAACTGTGTATTTGATGTGCAGGGGCCTGCTTGCAAGTAAAATGTATAACACAGCTAAAGCAATTGTGTCTAATCTCATTTACTTGATAGAAGAATATGGATATGTCCTTAATGGTGCAAGGGCCTATTACACTAACAGGAGGTAATGCTTTATCATTTTGTTTACTTCTTCTCCCAGTGAATTTTTAATTGTTGTTTTGTTTCTAAGGAACCCCAAAAGATTACAAAAGCAAAATATGTCGATTTTGCACAAGCAAATTTCCTTGGTGTATACTTCTGCGATGTATTACACACTCATATAGTTCAGTTCCATATTAATCTTGGGTGGGCAAACTTTGCAGCCAGCCACCCCTTTTGAGTGCAATGGTTTTCGAAGTATACCAGAGGACAGGCGATGTCGAATTCGCTAGAAAGTCTCTCCCTGCTCTCATCAAGGAACATGAATTCTGGAATTCTGGTTTAAGTTCACATTATAATGATTGCAGCCGTCCTTTGTTCATCTATAGTTGGTTTTATATTTTCTGTAGTTTTAATTTAATTTTCTGCTGTTGTAGGTATTCATAAGGTAACTGTTCGAGATTCCCAAGCTCAGAAACACACTCTAAGTCGATATTATGCAATGTGGAACAAACCCAGGCCTGAATCTTCAACCATTGTATGTCCTGCTCTGCAGCTCCCTTAGAAAAAAATAATTATACTTTTTGGTAGGAAATAAAAGAGAATAGAGCTAGTGTATTACTCCTTTTAACAGATTGTTATGCCTGTCAGGACAAGGAATTTGCTTCGAACATCTCGAATGTTGATGAGAAACAGCATTTTTACCGGGAAGTGGCTTCAGCTGCTGAGTCTGGATGGGATTTTAGTACAAGATGGATGAGGTAAATCCACAACAAGTATGCAAATCCACACTTAGAGAAGAGCCTCTATAAATTAGTTGAAAGAGGATTTTTTCTTTTTCCCGTTGCAGGAACCACTCAGATTTTACAACATTGGCCACCACATCAATTTTACCTGTTGATTTAAATGCATTCATACTAAGGGTATGTATGGCTCAGAAATCTTAAACAAAAATGAAGCCCTACAAATTATGACCTGTGAACATTACATTTCTTTTCTTATCTGTTGATGCAGATGGAACATGACATTGCCTTACTTGCAAAAGTTACAGGAGATCACAACATTGCTGAGTGCTTTCTCAAAGCTTCTGAAGCAAGACATGAGGCCATAAAAACTGTTTTCTGGAACGCAGAGAAGGGACAATGGCTTGATTATTGGCTCGGCAATAGCACATGCAATGTGGTATCGAATTGCCAAGCTCTTTGATTTGTGGAAAGTTTTAGTTGTGGTTGTCTTAATTCCTTCATATTTATGCTTATAGGAAGCTCAAACGTGGGAAGCTTGTAACCAAAATCAGAATGTATTTGCTTCAAACTTCGTCCCTCTGTGGGTCGAGCCGTTTTTCTCAGGTTTGTGCGTCTAAATTCCATCATATGGTTGGATCTGAGCACAAGCGTAGAATGAAATTTATTTAAACAGATTCAACAAATCAACATGGAAGCACACCACAATTTTCCTTTGAAATATATTAAGTTCTGCAGATGCCCTTTTCTATATCATAAACCAAAGAACATAATTGAATGAATATTTTGTCTTGTACATTGTATACTGAGAAAGCCCTTGCCCTGCGTGTATGTGAGTGAAGATGCTTCTCTGGTAGAGAAAGTTACAAGAAGTCTTCAAAGCTCAGGACTGCTTTGTGATGCTGGTATCGCAACATCCTTGACAAAGTCAGGAGAACAATGGTGAGTTCATAAACTAAAATCCAACTATCTTTCAGCATTTTAAGAATTATCTGAGGCCTTTCATGAAAGGGTTTCAAATTTCATTGTCAATGGCCTAATGGGGACTTATAAAAAAAACAGGGACTTTCCAAATGGCTGGGCTCCAATCCAACACATGATAGTTGAAGGCCTGGCAAGGTCTGGTTTGAAGGAAGCAAAGTTAGTGGCAGAAGACATTGCTGTGAGGTGGATCAGAACCAACTATGTTGCCTACAAGAAAACAGGCACCATGCATGAAAAATATGATGTGGAAAAGTGTGGAGCCTTTGGAGGTGGTGGTGAATATATTCCCCAGGTATATATGCCTTAATCACTTTCTAACTGACATTTGTATAAGCTACACAGAAGATTTCAGCTTAAATTTTTTAACATAATTTGTTTAAATTTGTTTTGTGTGTGTTGCAATGCAGACTGGTTTTGGGTGGTCAAATGGAGTTGTATTGGCATTCTTGGAGGAGTTTGGATGGCCTCAAGACAGAAGGATAAATTGCTGACTAGCATTAGGATTTTAGGACCAAATAATCTTATTGGCTTGGAGATGCATTTCAGTTTTTTTTTTTTTTTTTTGGTGGTACAAGCGATTGGATGCATTCATTGGCTTGGAGATGCATTTCAGTTTTTTTTTTTTTTTTTGGTGGTACAAGCGATTGGATGCATTTCAACTTTTAATCTGTTTATCATAACATATATAAATTATATGCTATTAATTTTTATTTATTATTATGGTTTCTGTTGATCCACGAGTAGGTGATAAGGATTTTTATTGTCTGATGCACTTTTGGGGGGTTCATGCTTCCACTAAGATTCTTAATTAGTGTTGTGATTAGGACAGAAAGGTAGGATTTGCTCCAGAAGCGGCACTGATTGGGAACTTTGATTGATTGTACAAATATTTTTCCAAAGCTGGTGGAGTTAGTGTGTCAAAAATTTGCGTAGCTGTTTGATCATACTCCAACTCATATGTGACATAATTGACACTGGTCTTTATGGACTCGTTATAATTTTTATATGTGGCTAAAGATTTAACTATTTAATTAGGGCCTAATTATCTTATTTGTGTAGTGGGTGGTGGGTCAGTGTTAGATGATGGAGATCCTTTTAGCAAGTCAAGTTCGGTTCGAGGGATGATTAGGATTTAACAAGAAGAGAGAGCCAAAACACACATCTCATCACACGGACATACTCTTAACTCTGATGAAAGGGAAAGAAAGAAAAAAAGATTCCCAGTAATCAAACCACATTAATTTCTTTTTCTTGTTTCTGAAAATCAATAGGACATTTCTAACAAGTTAAAGTACGGATTAAGTAAAACATCGAAGTGGTCTTCCGATATAAAAGACTTTAAATTGTAAGACAAATAACAAATTTAAAGACTGACTTTGATGTAGTTCTTGACAAACAACCTAAATTGATAGTCTAATAGCATAACATGACACGTATATGTGTATGCAAACAAAATGACGGTGGGTTGCAGTGATGTAACCTTGTTTCATAAGAAACTCCTTACCATATTATTATACATTCCAACTAAAGATTTATTAATTGTAATTGAGAAGGAAGGATATGATTGAGGTCATCAAATGGAGATTAGTTTAGAGTAAGAGATTGGAAGCCCTGAACCCTAACTTTAAGGGAAGAGGGACCCTTGAAAGATTCGGAGATACACAAAGTAGAGAGTGGCAATCATTGAATCATGGTAGTATTCAAATGGCACCCAATGTTTGCTTTTGATAATACAAAATTGGGTTTTTTTTTAATATTTTGAATTGGGAAATGAGTGAGTGGAAAGTATATAATGACCAAAGTCTCCAAGATTTTGCATATTATATATATGAACAAATTAAATTATAGTGTCATGGGATTTGGTCCTTTCTCATATCCCTTTAACTTGATTAGTCAATTAGAGTGGGCGAACTAACAAAACACCCAAATCCAAGGTTTGATCTGTGAGGTGGGGTGCATTCAAATATCACATATAGATTGAGGGATAGATTGAGGGATATATTGAGGTAGACAAATTATAATTTTATTTGAGGAGCATCATTTAGGGTCTCTTATAAATAAATAAAAATCCAACGATCCAAACAATCTTTTTTTAAGTCTACATTCATAGATCATCCTTGCAAAAAATTAGACAAATTGGAAACCGTTTCAACATCCAATTGTGTCCTACAAAATCAATGAACACAGTGCTTCAAGAAAGTATTAAAATTTCAATAATTCAATTATATGACCAAATGATATCGGATTCGAGTGATTTTTTGTAGAGATGATCTTTGAATGAATATCTACAAAATATACGTTTGGATTAGAGAAATACAATATAGAGTGGGCCTTATAAGGATGTCCTTCAAATAAACTTATTTAGGAAATCCCTCAACTGAAGCTATATATATCAAATATTAGAGGCAAATCAGATGAAAGGCAACTTTAGGCTAAAATATTAAGCAGGCCTAATCTGGGGAAGCCTCATTTGACTATTCGGGGTTTCATTGGAGGGTAACAGATGTGCGCATAAGCTTGCAAAACGGGACCATAATCCTAATACTTAATAGATTTCTTTATTTATTTTTTGTCTCTAGTTAGTTAATTAATTTAATGTAATGAAAGTGCTCTAATAAGCAGCATTTAAACTTAAAGGTAAAGCCACTGATTTTGAACCTTTTACTCCAAAATGATTTTGATTTCATTTTATTATAATGCATGCCCTGATCCACGCCTAGCCACCAGTGCATGCATATCCTGACTCCAAAATGTGAAGTTAAATTTTTTTTTCCTTTTTTGAGTTAAAGAAAACCTAAGATTTGAATTTAATTTTGTTATGTAACCAAGGATGAAAGAGTAGTAGAGAAAAAGTGAAATGCAAAAGATAGAGTTCCGTTATCATAATTTATTTCTTTTATTTTCATTAGAGTAAACCTCGACGGCATGAGTGAAAATTTTATTTAACTAAGTAAACTAATACAACTCGGGATGTAAAACCTAACCCCGATTCAATATATCTTCCAAAAGGACGTCCCGCACAAATGAAGGGTCACCTCTGATCAAGACAAACTAGCTATCATCCATATGCAAAGTATATTGTGCTACATACCCTATGAGTAACTTCATTCGCTTCTCGAAAAGTACGTATATGAACTTATTGTTTGTTGGAAATCCTTTTGCCAGAGTCTTCTATTTACGGGTTCACATAATAGGAGTACCATCATTTAAAAAATATATAAAGCATTAATCAAAAATATCTTTTTTTTCCTTTTTTGAGTTAAAGAAAACCTAAGATTTGAATTTAATTTTGTTATGTAACCAAGGATGAAAGAGTAGTAGAGAAAAAGTGAAATGCAAAAGATAGAGTTTCGTTATCATAATTTATTTCTTTTATTTTCATTAGAGTAAACCTTGACGGCATGAGTGAAAATTTTATTTAACTAAGTAAACTAATACAACTCGGGATGTAAAACCTAACCCCGATTCAATATATCTTCCAAAAGGACGTCCCGCACAAATGAAGGATCACCTCTGATCAAGACAAACTATCATCTATATGCAAAGTATATTGTGCTACATACCCTATGAGTAACTTCATTTGCTTCTCGAAAAGTACGTATATGAACTTATTGTTTGTTGGAAATCTTTTTGTCAGAGTCTTCTATTTACGGGTTCACATAATAGGAGATTGAATACCATCATTTAAAAAATATATAAAGCATTAATCAAAAATATTAATTTAGTGTATATATATTAGATAAAACTCAAAGAATGAATTCATAAAAGGTATGGTCATCCACAATACACGCATTTACAACAATTTTCTCTCGTTTATAAGGTAGGGGCCAAGGGACAACCAAGAAAATGTAAAAGCTGTATGAATGTTTCCTCCTTTAGACTTAGAGATAGCAGAGGCAGGGCAGGCCAACATGATAAATACCTAGCAAAGATGACTGAGATGCCATGACAGCATGATAGGATAAGATAAGAACACTTTTCTCCCCCTCCTTCGATCCAAGGACCCCATGGCCTTAGAAATTTACAGATAATCTCTAAAGTAAATAAAAGAGCCATAAATGATACTGATTTCTATTAAATATGTGGATTGGGGGGGTCTAAGAACTTGATTTGTAGGGTTAGGCCTCGTCTCCATGTTCTTGAAAGATGTTCAGCAGCTCACATCCTACTTCTTAAAACATGAAAGATCTTTAAAATATGTGCTACTTGGTAAAAAGTTCATGTTCTGCCAATTAATTACTTTGGTTTCATAGAAAAAAGGTTATAGTTAATATGTGCAAAATTAGATACTAACTGACCCGACCACTCTATTTTAAGGAGAAAAACTTACATTCATCGGATGCATATGCAAAGGAAGAGATAAGAAAAGAAGAGTATGTACACGGTTTATGCGAGTTTTTTCTTTGTCCGACAGGTTCATAATCATGAATAGTAACACACGCAAACAAAAAGGCAAGAACATGTGATGTGGCAGCACCATGGCCTAAGAGAGTAGAAGTTGGTGAAACCAGCAATGTGAGAGGAGATGAGATACATATATATTCCGTTCCAAATACAAATAGTAGTATGAATAGTATGTGCAGTTCTGTGGAGGAAGGATATGATGTCATAAGGTCCCCGCGGGAGGGCACGGGGACTATTTAGAAATAGAGAAGTGCTCCAAAAAAGCTGAAATTTTCAGCACCTTTTTTCCCCTTTATTATCCACCTTTTGGCCAAATAATAAAGTGTCTCCCTCTCTACCCCCTTTCTCAAACTATTGCACATCACAATTAAAGTTCCCTTAAAAGAAAAAAATTCTCTTTGCTCAATTATACTATGCATTCTCATTTAAAATGAAACTTTTATATATATTTTTTTCAGTTTGGGTTTTAAGGTATTCGGATTTTCAAGGATGGTAGAGCACAACGACTCCCATCTTTTCTATTATGACTTCATACTAAATCCACCATTAAAGTACATTATAAACATAACAATGAGCGAACTCGTATTTGAACTCCTATTACATAGAACCTCGGTTGTAAAGAAGAGGAATTTCTAGCTTTAAAAAAGATGTGTTTGATAAACTATGTCTAAATGGTTAAAGGAGGGATTCATGTATTTTGGTGGCTCAAAACAAAATAAAATTAGAATCGGATTGAATTGAATTATTTTAGACTTAGTAAGTTAAAAAAGTGAAATAAATATAAAATGAAAAAAGAAAGGGAGGGTTTGAACAGGAATGATTGACCAGATGCGACTTTTTTATCCCAATAAAATGCAAGATTCGATGTGGCAGGATTGACCGATCTGCTGAAATTTGGAACCCTCCTCACGTGCGATTCCCCTTTGACAAATCACAAATGCACACTCTCTCACACATTCATTCACTTAATCAAATCACCTTGACACTTGTGCCCTCTATACTTATTTTCTTTTCTTTTCCTTTTATTCGCCATTTTAAATAATCAATCACTTATTTTCTTCTTCTACCTCATCCATCTAAAAATGAAAATTTGATCCGAGACCTAAAAATGAAAATTTGCCGTAAATTTAATCCAAGAATATTTATGCTAGTACAGAATAACTCAGTTGGTTCAACGTTTTCACCTTTATTCATGTGGACAAAAGTTCGAAATTCCGAGACATCCAATAAACATTTGTGTAAACCTTCTCTCCTAATTGTTTGTACTCCAAAAATATCCAAGTTCATATATCCAGCGAATTCACACAATTTAACATCAAAGACTAGAACTTAAATTTTATAACTTCATTATAGTTTTGGGAAGGAATCAATTTTCTTCCTATTACATACTAGTCTTGCTAAATATCCCAAAAAGTT